GTACAATGCCATAGACTCCACCCTCCCAACCAGCCATTCTCTTCTGGGGAAACACTGTTCCCAATCTCAGGAAAGGGGTGAAAATCACTCAGAATTACAACTGATCTCCAGGAGGGAGGGGGGAGGAGATGCAAGGCTGAAATCAGAGGGGCAGATAATGGCAGGGTGATGCTTGGCTGGGAGTTGCCAACTCCAGGTTGGGAAATTCATGGAGATTTGAGGGATGGTTAGACTCCACCCTCCAGACCAGCCATTTCCTCCTGGGTAACAATTGTTGCCAATCTCCAGGTGAGGGCTGGAGATCACTCAAAATTACAACTGCTCTTCAGGTAGCAGAGATCAGTTCCTCTAGAGAAAATGGTGGACTCTGTGTCATTATACCCTGCTGAGGTCGCCACAGCACATTGATGCTGAGTGCCCAAGGCCTTGGCCCTCTCTCAGAGCCTCTTTCTAGAGCTCGTTGTAGTTGTATTTATTTCCACAACGGACCTTATTCCTAGTGTGTTAATATTTGTGTTTTGATAGTCTGTCTGTCCCACCCTGTCACACAGAATATAATTTGGCTTTTAGCCCAGCCCAGAAACTTAATGGGGAAAACAGGAGCCCTCTTTGAAATGGCACTTCAGTCCAAATAACATTCAAACAGAAATCTTAAGTTTATTTAACAGATGGGATGAATAGATGAGATCAGGGGTTGGAAAAACTTAGGTAAAATTTGTTGGTATTTCAAAGTACATTTCTTTTAACAGGCAAAATGGTAATCTTTAAGCTTGTTTGCATATATTCTAGGCTCTTGATGGTGATGTTTTACTTAGTTCTAGTTACAGCAACGATGTTTCTTCAGACAGTTTTCTATGATGGTGCAGTTTCCCTGAAGTGGGTCTCTTTCTTTTGAGCGCCTTTCTTTGAAAGCCAGATTGGTGTAGTTGTTAAGAGTGGCGGACTCTAATTTGGGAGAACCGGGTTTGATTCCCCACTCCTCCACTTGCACAAGCCATAATTCTGGCACAGCTGTTCTTGAAAAAGAGCAGTTTCTGTCAGAGATCTCTCAGCCCCGCCTACCTCACAGGGTGACTGTTGTGGGAAGGGAAAGGGAAAGGAGTTTGTAAGCCACTCTGAGACACCTTTGGGTAGTGAAGGGTGGGGTATAAATCCAATCTCTTCTCTTCTCTTCTTCTAATCTGGGAGAACCGAGTTTGATTTCCCACTCTTCCACTTGCAGCCAGCTGGGTGAACCTGGGTCAGTCACAGTTCTCTCAGAGCAGTTCTCTCAACAGCAGTTCTCTTAGAGCTCTCTCAGTCCCACCTACCTCACAGGGTGTGTGTAGTGGGGAGAGGAAGGGAAGGAGATTGTAAACTGCTCTGAGACTCTGAGTAAAGGGCAGAGTATATATCCAATTCTTCTTCCTCTTTCTCGTTCCTTTCTTGAAACTACAATTTATTTCTGTCTTTTGAGTTGTCTAAAACCGTTTTCCCTTCACATCAGACCCAGGGTTCTCCTCAGAGCCAAACCCCCAGAGAACCTGGGCAGGAATCAATCTTCTTCTCCACTCCCTGTTCCTTTTGGCTTGAAAGGGAGTTTCAGCACACTACCCAATCAGTCTCGCCAAATCACCATCCATGTTCTGGCATTTGTGTAAAGTGTACTTCAACTTAGGCTGACACTTAGTTTCTGAATTCTGTTACTGAATTCTACTTGAGGATAGGAATACTACAGTTAAGGCAACCAAGTCTTTTTCCTTCACTCTAAGGTGAACCTGTCTGACTTTTCCTGTCAGACTCACTGACTCCAAACTCTGTCAGAAACCAACTGACTGCCTTCAGAGTGGTTCTAACTGACAGAACCTCCGGAATGGAATGAACCAAACTGACCTAAACTCTCTTCAGCACTTGGCTGATCATATAGTTTTTCTCAGCTGACGCTGACCAATCAGAGAAAAAGAGCAGCCCATCCCTCAAGTTCTCCATTCCAGTGGAGTGTTAACCCTTCACCTCCCATATCTCTGATTCTGCTACACTAGGAACCTGGTTTTTAAGTGCAGTCCGTCACACCAGTTCTCCTCACAATCATGTGCAGGATGTCTGATTCACATCCGGCCACAGCATGCCTGGAGAAGGAGCTTCAGCCTGTGCCCTGGCATTGTTTTTCCAACCTGAAGTGGACCCAGAGGACCCCAATTTGGCACACTGGTGAAATCCATGTGTATTCAAGGGAACATAGGGGTTTACCCAAAAAGCTGAACAGCACCCCCTGGGACCATTTCAGGTCAAAAAAATGGCATGGAAGGGAGCTGAAGTCCTTTCTCTGTGATGTCCTCCTTATTGGGGAGGACTAGTTTCACTTTAAAAGTGTTCTGTATTTTGTTTAACTGGGTAGAATCTGCTGCCACCAGGAAATTTTAAGGATTTCCAAACCTTTATGCTTTTACTTTTGCATACTGGTTTGGTAGACCGAGTTCAGGGCTCATGAGGAACTATGTGGTCCTGGGAAGTATGTCATTTAGAGCTGGTATAAACTTTGATAAAAGAGGATTTATTGAAACAAATACTAAATAAGAGGGTGGTACAATGTAACTTCTTGTTGTTCAGTTGCACAGTCGAGTCTGACTCTTTGCGACCCCATGGACCAGCTCCCGCCAGGCCTTCCTGTCTTCCGCTGTCCTCTGAAGTTTGCTCAACTTCATGTTCGTTGCATCTATGACACTGTCTAACCATCTCATCCTTTGCCGCCCCCGTCTTCTTTGACCTTCAATCGTTCCCAGCATCAGGGTCTTCTCCAGTGAGTGCTCCCTTTTCATTTGGTGGCCAAAGTATTTGAGCTTCAGCTTCATTATCTGGCCTTCCAGGGAACAGTCAGGGTTGATTTCTTTTAGGATTGACTGATTTGTTCTTCTTGCAGTCCAAGGGACTCTCAAGAGTCTTCTCCAGCACCATAGTTCAAAAGAATCTATTCTTCGGCGCTCGGCCTTCCTTATAGTCCAACTCTCGCAGCCATACATGACTACTGGGAATACCATTGCTTTGACCATGCGGACTTTTGTTGGCAGGGTGATGTCTCTACTTTTTATCATGCTGTTTAGGTTCGCCATCGCTTTCCTCCCAAGGAGCAGGTGTCTTTTAATTTCATGACTGCTGTCACAGTCTGTGGTGATCTGGGATCCCAGGAACGTGAAGTCTGTCACTACTTCCACTACTTCCCCTTCTATTTGTAATGTGTAAATGATGGACAATTGCTTTGGTATCACACACAATCTTCTCCCTCAGTGACAGGGATCTTTTCATGTAACTTTGTAACACTTGTTTATCTCAATGCCATATGTGTTCACTGTTTCTCTCCCATTTGTTATGACCCTCAGTCTTTCCTTTAACTGTTGGTTACTTAAACTTTACTTTACTGTTTCCTATACATTCAACTTTCAGCTTTCTCTCTCTGTCTCACTGAACAACCGCAGCTGTAAGTTTATAACTGCTTCAACACAGAACTGCTTGTCTAACTAACTAACTGAACATCAACTGTCAACCTCTAACTGAAACTACTGACTGACTCACATACTCATCCAACCAGATTCACTTCCAAAGCCCCTCCCCCTCTCTGTCAACCACCAATCATACCACACTTGCCTCTTTCAACCACTCTAGTCTGTCTACCACAGCCATGCAACCAAACTTTTAAAGAGACACACACAGAGAGAAACAAGGAATCATTACATTCTCCATGCAGGTTGTGGTCCAGATCTGAATCAGACACCCTGCACATGGGCACTGTGGAGAATCTGCAACTTACATCTGATTGTTACACAGCAGGGTAGGGGCTGCAGACAGAACCTACATGTTCTCTGTAATGCAATGGAGAGACATTTCCTCTTAGTGCAAGAGATAAGAGGGGGTGCCTCTAAAAGAGTGTCTGTGATGTACTTTATATAAAAAGATTGTTGAGCTAAACATTTGCTTCCCAATACATTTCCGTTTCAAGGACACTACTCTAATGGCTCAGAAGGTTTTATTGTACCATCCTAAGCTGCGCTACACCCTTCTAAGTGCATTGACTTAGAAGGATGTAACTCAGCTATAGAAGGTATTGCTAATTCATTATATAACTCATTGATCAACTAAATGTAACAACAGCTCCTTTGGCAGCAACTCCAATGCTAGCATTAGTTACAAGGACTAAATGTTTGCTTACATCCGGGTTTTTCAAATGGAAAATTTGGAACTGTTGTATGATGGTATGTGATTGTAATTTGTATCCAGAAAGCACACTGCCAGAACACACCTGTGCATTTATTCTTTGTACACACACATGCTTAGAGTCACATTCCATAAGACTTAAAACCTACAGAGAATAGGAGAAAATCCTATGAACTGGGAATATGACTGCACTAATGCAAACAATAGCTTTTATGGGCTTGCAGCCATTTTAGATAGGGAAGGATAAGGCAAGTGGTGAATTTTAAATATCCCCTATGGATGGCAGATACAATACCTTCTGTTAGAAAAGTGTGACTTTTCACCTACAGAAAGCATTGTAAATGGGGGAGGAGGGTGGAATGAAAGTGCATTCCTAAACCCATAGATTTTAGTGGATTTAAAAGGATGTAATACTATTTAGGACTGCACTGCCAGTTGGTAAATTTGTATAGTAATCTGTATTTGTCTAGTAGTTCATCTGGGGGGGGGGGAGCCAGACTCTTGCCTTTTTACATTTGAAATACCATGATCCAATACTTGTGAACTGTTACAATGCATAGAGATGTAAAAAGTGAATAAACATTTTCCTGTCATTTATATTGTTTATTTTATATTCATTACTATGTAATAAATAACTTTGGTTATCCTGCTACCTTTTTTTAGGGTGGGTCATTTTGAATTTGGGGTCATCTACTTTTATAACCTCTTTTTAAAGGGTCATTCTGGATCATCTTCCTTTCAAGTAAATGCATAAGGACTAGAAGCTTCCTTTTTTAAAAAAAGAAAGAAACCAAGCTAGGATTCTCTGGAAATTTAACTGTATACCCAAACACTTGCAGGCAATTACACAGCTTGCTTGGAGTTCAGGCTGCATTTGAGACTGCAGCAAATCTAAAGCAAGGTACATCAAATTGTATGTTTGTTCAGTCATTGAGTTATCTTTAACCTGACATCACACTTGACAGGTGATCCAGCTTATATCCTAAATGTATTGAGAAAATCCCAGTGGAAGACTGGTTCAATTTACAGTGCTATCCTATGCATGAACTTTAGTAGACTTAGACTGGAGTAACTCTACATATGTATCTTGATGGTGGTCCTAGTGGCCTATATCCTACCCACCCTACTATTTTCCTCTGGGCTAAAGAGGCTTCCAACTTAAGCAGGTCTCTTAGGACACTGGAGTTTAATGCATACACACAACATGACTACTAGTGAGAAGGTATTAAGAGAAAAGTAGGCACAGAGAAAAATTTCTGCCAGGTCACCATTTTTCAGAAAGTTCAGTGTTGCCTTTTTAAAGGTACTGCCTCTGTCCACTCTTGGAGAAAGGCCAAAGAGTTTTCCCATAAAGCAAAGAGTCCCACTCACCATATGACCAGTTTCCCTGTGACGGCGACAGCCAACAAAATGGCATTCTTCCTTAGTAGCACATTTTTTGGTGACAGAGGCACTCATTCCATGGCTGGTGAAGTGATGAACAGTCAGACAATACTGTGTGTCTAATGAAGAAACAACATTAAAATCAAAATCAAGGTTGCTTCAGTGAGATATCAGGCTTGCACTCTAAAAGCACGGGCAAAACTGGAATAATAATAATACATTCATCTACAAGCACAAAAGTCCTCAAGGTCACCCTGAAAAAGTAAAGATGATGAAACAAATAGACCTGGTACTATATGTCATCTTTTCGTGTGTATGCCAGACATCTAATTTTATTTTTTTTGCCATCAAGTTGCAGCCAATTTATGGTGATCCCATGGGGTTTTCAATGCAAGAGATGATTAGAGGTGGTCTGTCACTGCCTGCCTCTGCTTCATAACCCTGGACTTCCTAGTCTGGGCTATCCAGATCAGTGTGAGGTCTCTGATACTCAGCCAAAAAAGTTACTGTGCTTATTCACAACCAACAAGCAGTTTGTAGATACGACAGAAGACCAAAGATTTAGGAGGCAGCACATCTGTTTCTGCTTCCATTTTCTACTATCCCCTGTCATGACCCATCAACATTAAATTTCCACTCACGCCTTGAGCACCTGATCTGCAGTTATACATAAATAATGCATTCTCTTCTCTTGCCCTGCGGTCATATACAAATGCAGATTTTCAGCTTGGACGAACACATAAAGCTGCCTTAAACTGAGGTCAGACCTTTGATCCAGCAAGGTCACTACTCAGACTGGCAGTGGCTCTCCAGCATCTCAGGTAGAGGTCTTTCACGTTGCCTGCTGATTCTTTTAACTGGAGATATAGAGAAGCAAACCAGGGATCACCTGCATGCAAAGCAGATGTTTGTCCTTCAGGGACATCTGAAACTGCATTTCTCATTTTCTGTTCAGTTCCAGGGAGGAAAACTGAGATGTACATTTCCTTATCCTGTTTTTCCCTGCCTGTGGAATGTTAGCATATTAATATATTCCTTGTTATCCTGTTCAGTGCTGTTTTTTCCCAATATGACAGATAACACTATCTACATCTCAATGAACGTAGTAAGCAGGGCACATCTGTGGCTGGGAAGCACAAGAGTCCACAGTGAACATGTACCTTCCTAACTCACCCTTGTTAATTTTAATCTTGGAAATTTCAATCTCACTTTTCCTCCAAGGAAGGAAGGAGGGAGGGAGGGAGAGAAATGCCCTTTGCATGTTATAGTGACAAGATCTGTGGCTTCATATTGCAGTGCTGCCATATTTAAGGGCTCAGTTTCACATAAGGAGAGCCAATCATGTGGACCCATTCCATGTAATCATCGCCCTACTCAGATGCAGAGTGCCAGTGAAGTAGGAAAGTCTCAGGCTGTTAGCCCAGCCTGTGTGGAGCAGGTCCTTCAAAAGTGGTAACAGTGACAGGTTTGAAGTCATTGATAAGCACTGCTCTAACATATAAAGGATGCTAGAGTCAGCACTGGAAGTCATTTATGCTGAACACTGCAATATGTCTAAAAAATACAGTCGGGCTGCTTCTTGTACCATTCATCTCACATACAATGCGTTCCCACAAATAATTCCAGGAAAATAGCTGCACATCCTAAAGTTACAAGTGCATTGGAATGTTAATCTTATTACGAGATCTTCAATATGGTGGAGTTAGTAGGAAAGGCCAAGCCAAATGCTTTGCAGTGTCTCCCTGTTCCCCGTGCACTTACTCCGAGGACACCATTTATCTTCAGCCCATCTGTTACAGTTGTAGTTGTCCACAACATTATCACAAGTGAAACACTTGAAGCTGCTTGGAAATGGAGAAGCTTTACAATTTGGGGGGGGGGGGGGAAGAGAAAAAAAATTGTTTCAATCTCTCAAATACCTGTTTATTATGACATCAGTTTTCCTCCCTCCTCCCCCTCTATTAGGCCCTGTGATGTAGAAAAAACAGTGGTTGTAAACTTTATTCAGTGTCATGTAATTTTTTGACCATTAATAATTGGGAAAGTAGCTTGAAATGTTTTGACCTCAGAGAGCAGGCTACCTATCAGATCCAACCAGATGCAAGCATCATTTGAATATGGGGCAGCAAATAAGGGCAGTACTTGCTCAGTCCTTTGTGGAAAATGCATCACAGCAAGGTGATGTAGGAAGCTTTCCTCTCATTAACCCAGTACATAATCTTCAGAATGCCAGCACTAAACTAATGTTACCAGCAGTGTTCCCTCTAAGCTGAATTAGTGTGAGCTAGCTCATAGTTTTTTAGCCTCCGGCTCACACATTTTTGTCTCAGCTCAGCAAGGACGGCTCCAGAGCAAACAAATTTATGCAGGAGCCAAATCTCTCGCTCACAACTTTAATGCCAGTAGCTCACAAGGTAGAATTTTTGCTCATGAGACTCCACAGTTTAGAGGGAACATTGGTTACCAGTACAGATTAAGAAGGGCTGCTGCCCATTACAAATGTCTCTGATCAACACTAATCCACAGTTCATCTGTGCAGCTATGTCTTCGGTGCAAAGCACATTTACCCCTTGTGTCACAGGGCACCACACCCAAACAACAGGGAGACAACTAAAGAAATCACAGCGCGCTCAGTTACTGATGCAAAAATGTCTACTTAATGAGTGCACAACAAGACACAAAGGAAGAGCAATAAGATGACGTGGTAACTTAATCAGATGAACATGCAGGTACACATTTTAGACCATTAATCAAATGTTCTGCCTATTAATTAGCCACCCTTGAAGACATTCAAATTAATGTTTGGCTATTCAGTTCCTTTTTTAAAAAAAGACTTAAAATAGAAAAGTTCCGAAGGACTTCAAATTGTATGACTGTACGTGAAATTTTTATAGTATGACTTTTTGATATTTATAGCATAATATAGATTTATATAATAGTAGTAGAAGTAGCAGTAGTAGTGAAACTTATTTTACTGATACACCTAATAGAACTGTAACAGGCTACTCACGGTCTACTGGAAGTCTCACATTATAGAAGTTGATGTTCTTGGCTAAGATCCAGTGGCCTGAGATGATGAAGATCTGAATCAAAGCTACAGCCAACATGTGACAGAGTAAAGGCATGCTGCTACTCCACATCAAAGCTTAACGCTCTTTCACCTGAAAAGGTAAAAGAAGCATAGAGAACTGGGGAAGTGGTTGTGTGTGGCATAAACTTCACAATGCAACACTCATTGCTAGCACTGTTGGTGACGGTGATAATAGTATGTAAATTAGCAAGACGTTGGCTCTACAAAACTAAGCAGCTACTGCCTTCTACTGGCCTAGTTGTTATGTACAGTATGGCATGGTCACTGCACATTAAAGTGAAAGTCCATCTACAAGAATGAGGGTTAGGTCAGGCCGGAGAGGGCCGAGAGGGACCTTGCACTGGTTGCCCATTGGTTTCTGAGTGAAGTTCAAGGTGATGGTTCTCACCTTTAAAGCCCTAAACAGTCTGGGACCTTCATGCCTATAGGACCACCTCTCCCTATATGTCCCCCCAAGAACACTTCATGCTTCATCACATGGTCTGCTGGTGGTGCCTGGCTTGACTGTCCTCAATAAGGGCAAGAGCTTTTTTGATTGTGGCACCTGCCTGGTGGAACTCTCTGCCAGATAACATCTGGGCCCTGCAGGCTCTTTCTAGATTCCATAGGGGCTGTAAGGCAGAGTTGTTCTGCCAGGCTTTCTGTTGAGGATGGTCAAGGCCAGTTTTCTACCACCTATTAACAGTGCCGCCTGTTCTTTGACAGCAGTTTGGAGTGTTGGTTGTCGGGAGCCAAATAATCATGTTCTATTCTGACGCCTGAGTCAGAATGTTAATTTATGTTTTGTTAAGTTTTATCTCTAGTTACACATTGTTTTATTGAATGCTGTGAGGCACCCTGAGCCCTGTTACCCAGGGGAGGGGCAGAGTATAAGTCTATAAACAAACAAACTTGCATGTCGAACTTCCTGGGTAAAACTAAACCATTGTTGGGAGGGGACAGGAACACAAACTTTGACTTTCTCATCCTCATTTGGTTGACGTTTATATTTAACGATTATCAATAAAACCCTAAGCAAATCAATACCCTTTTAAGTCCATTGGATTTATTTACTTATTTACAAAAAAAATATATTTCATCTTTCAGTCCCATCGAGGCCACTAAGACCCTGATATATAAGGATGTAACTCTGCTTACGATAGCACTGTTTGTCTGCAATTCTTGTAAAGTTATCATTCTAGTGGTGTTCTAAAGTACACAAACAAGAGAATCTCCTTTTATCCTGAGTTAATCTACACTGACTGTCATATTCTAGTTTCCTGCTCAGAGTCACTAAATTAAATTAAATCACGGCCTCACACATAGTTTTTATTCATTTTTTAAAAAAATTGCCTATCTTCCACTTCACTGACTGTGCATACAAAGGGAAAGTTAATTTGATCTGGCATATGTATCCATACCAGAGTGCAGATTTATACAATTTGTACATCGGATCCCAAGTGCTTTTTAAATAAAGCTGAACAGTACAAGACTGTATAAGCATTTATAACTGGCAGATTAGTTTAACACTGGCTGCTTGTTGATGAGCAAGCGACTGTGGATTTCAGGGACCGTACAGTCATAGTATTACCCTACACTGGATTAGGCAGTGATGCTGAGTTGCACCACACAATTTGTTCTCAGAACTACATCTTCCCTTCTAGCAATGAAATTTTAAGCTACTGGAAAGCACTGGTAGAGAAATATATCAACATATAGGACATGATGACAGAGCCTTTGTTAACCCCCTGTTCTCCTCTCTGTCTGCTTCCCACAGAGCTGTTACTATTTATGGCAGAGATGTGACAGCTTATCACAGAAACAGATAAGTACTTGGAACCTGATTGTTTGCAGTGCAGTGCAAGTTGTGAGATTTATACTATTTTATGTTCCCTAGATTTCTGATCTGATGCAAATCTGGTTTGGTAAATTTCTCTGCACACCTGGGAAGACATTTCAAACAACCAAATTGCTGAGAAGTTATATGTTCACCATAATACATTACCACTTGACATGGCTAACTAAATATCTCTATTTGCATAATACTAAATGGCAAACTCAGACTTAACTAATTTAGCTGAGGTCTGATTCTCAAAAGCTGACTGAACTGTTGAGATTTTTGGACAGCCATTCAACTATGTTCAAAATTATATTTTGGGGTAGTGGGGTCAGCATACACATGAACTACAAGATGTACAAGATGTAAACCCAGCCATTTAGGAAAAAAGGTAACTTTGGCCCCGGTCACATGGGCCGGAAAATGCGGGGAGAAGCGTGGCTGTTTGCCCCGAAATAAAGTAACGCGCGGCAGCCCGATCAGACGTCCTGTCGAAGTCCCGTGGTTAGGCGTTAGGTGCCGATCAGACAACTAGTCTGCAGCGCAGCAAAGGAGCAGCACGGCACGTTCACACCGGCAATCGCGCCGTGCCACTTCTGTGGCAAATGGGATTTTTTGTTTGTCTCACTGAAGTTTGTGCATGTGCATGATCGTTTGTGCGCATTTTTTGTAAAAAAAATCTGGTTGGCAAGGGGATGTGGGCAGGCGCCGGATGCCACGGGATTCCAGCGGAAACACAATCAGACGCCCGCCCTTGCCCCGTGTTTTCCGGAAACCAGTACATCGTAAGTACTAGTTTTTTACTCCACATCTTTGGCGGGAAGCCACGGGTTAGCCATGGAAGCACTACGCTTCCCAGTTGTTGCGGTGTGATCGCGCCCAGAAAATCCGCCTATCATCCGTATCTTTAGCTTGGCAAATGCTCCGTGTGAACGGGGCCTTTCTACTCCAAATGTTTTAGGCACTTCCAGAAAGAAGGGATTAGATTCTGAAACTGTGGGGACGAACACATATGATAGTGGCTTAGATTCTCCAGACCATTTCCACAGATAAACAGACACCTACAATGTGTGACTTTCTCACCTCCCACCCACCTTCTGCAGCCCAAAATGTCCCCCAAAATGCTGTTCTGGGAGTCTGCACTCCTTCCATCCCATGGAAATGCTCCACTGGATCCTTAGTATAGTTCATTAACCAGTAAGAGACCCTGAGAATCTATAAAGTTAAGATTCCTGGTCAATCCCATGTCTTTTGCATTCAACAAAGTTATAATTTCAAACATGTGCATCATCTAAGGTAGCTACTCCAAATGGAAACTTATCTACTCACCTAGTTTGCATCTCTCTGCTCAGCCAGCACAACCACCACCAATGCAATGAATCCTTCCCTCTGCCTTTTAGATTCTGGAAATCCACATGCAGATCTTCAAGCACTGACGGGGAGACATAAAAATCATTGAGCATGTGTCCTGTTTCCCTCCAAAAGTTTAATAGCCCCCTCCTTATTCTGGTGACTCAAAGCAACTTCTCCATGAATGTTTTTGCCAAAAGTCACTGACCAAGATGGGGAGTGGGATTTAAGAGACAATGATAAAGCCAGATATCTCATGGGCATTGTTACCACTGCTTGGAACAGAGGGTGGTAGGGTTGCCAGATCTCCATGGCCACCGGCACAAGGTGGGGGCGTAGGGTTGCCAGATCCAGGCTGGGAAACTCCTGGAGATTTGGGGGTGGAGTCTGGGGAGGACGGGGCCCTCAGTGGGGTACGATGCCACAGGGTCCACTCTCCAAAGCATCCATTTTCTCCAGGGGAACTGATCTCTGTCGTCTGGAAATGTGCTGTCATTCCAGGGGATCCTCAGGCTCCACCTGGAGGCTGGCATCCCGAGAGGGTGGGCTTAATCCAAAGCAATATCCACCAGGGCTCTGGTGAAAACAAACATCATCAACAAATCACAGTTCTTAACTAGTAATACACCATTCAAATAATTCCTGTATAGGCCTGATACTTCAAGTTAGCAGTACTATAATTTGAAATTGATAAAGTGTACACAAACGAACACACACACTTTCTCCTGAAGCTATATGCAAGCCACTGCTGGCATTACTGAATGTCGTGCCAACTGAGCAGACTATGTAGAACCACTTTTCAGAGTCACCACTAGATGGCATGAGATTAGATAAAAAGGTAAAGGTAAAGGTTTCCCTTGCTCGAAAGCCAGCCGAATCCGACTCTAGGGTTGCGGTGCTCATCTCCGTTTCAAAGCCGAAGAGCCAGCGCTGTCTGAAGACGTTTCTTTGGTCATGTGTCTGGCATGACTAAACACCAAGGCGCACGGAACGCTGTTACCTTCCCACTGAAGTGGTACCTATTTATCTACTTGCAATTTCTTGCTTTTGAACTTTTTATAGATTTTTAGATAAGCAAGTCTCAAATCACTTTTTAAATCATTTTTACTCTAGCTAGTTGGGAATCAGCACTTTCTTGCTTAAGATGCATGCAACACCCCTCAACCCTCAGTATTTCATACTATGCCAAAATGCAGATGCTCAGTGTGTGAGCACAAGTATAAGAAGAATCAGCAGCCTACATGAGTACAGAGACATTTCCACTTTGATGTAAGAAGGCATCTGCTAACTTGTTAAACTTGTCATTCCTTCAGAACAAGGCTAGCTACAGACAAACTTCAGTGGAAGAGAATGAGAGAATGGGAGAAGAAGAGGGAATCTGCTCAGTTGCACAATTAACCTGTCCATGTTGTTGCTCTCTGTGACGTACATCCTCCATCCCATCACTCACAGTATGGCTCAGCCTCTTACTGGTTACAAAGGAGAGGACTTGAGTTTTGCTATATGATGTACTTGCCATATTCCTAGTGGGGGGAGGATAACACATATACAGGAAGCTGCCCTGTACTGAATCAGACCATTTGTCCATCAAGCTTAGTATTGTCTACCTGAACTGGCAGTGGCTTTCCAGGGTCTCAGGAAGAGGTCCTTCACATCACCCAGTACTGGATCCTTTTCTCTGTAGGTGCCAGAGATTGACCTTGGAACTTTCCACATACCAAGCAGATGCTCTGCCACTAAGCAACAGCCATGCCTCTGATATGTTGAGTTGCCAACTGTACTGGTGACAAATGCCCTGCCCCTTTAATGTTTTATTTATTTATTAACAGGAGTTGTACTCCACCTTTCTTCCCTTACAAGGGCCACACCAGGACAGCTAACTGTTTAAAACAC